TTACTGAATATTCTATAAATAATTTATCTTATATTAAGTATTTACTATGAGTCTCTTCCCAAACTACAATTATCACATATTGCAGTAACAAAAAATCAACAATGGCTTATCTATATTTATCAGAAAATGAATATGCAATTGTTCGTATACAAGATTCAGACATTTTCCCTCTAGGCTACCTTTTGTTATTTATTTTACTTATGTTCTGCCTTTATTATTTTTATAAACAAATCAAGGTGGCAAAGATATCTAATACGCCTTCCTATTTTCCCCATAACAACAATCCTCTGATGTTATAAGGATGCACCATATTTTTGGAACACAAAATTGAATTGAATTGAAACACTACAGTTGATAAGTTAGTAATCCAGTTGTTAAGTGAATCTGGCTTTCCCATTGACTTCCCTGTCAGAAGGTCGCAAAAGGTGATCATATGACCCTGGGATTCCACGACCATCATAAATATGAACCTGTTGCCAAGCATGTGAATTTTGATCAAATGATCATGGGGTTATGCAAAGGTTATGTGAAAATCAGTCGTCACATTTTTCAGTGCGGTTGTAACTTTGTACGGTCACTAAACAAACTGTTGTAAGCCAAGGATAGTGTCAGGCCTGCAGTCATATTCTTTTCTGGATCTTTGGCCTGCCACACTCTCTCTTATTTTACTATGCTGTTTCATTAGTGGGGAATTGGGAGGGGGAATAGTAAGGAGTAGAATGTGATATTGTCAAAATAAAATTCCTTTCTAAAAGCCAAGGTCATCCTTTGTCTTTGCATCTCTGCACCTGACCAGAACTAAATGGGTGGAACTGCCAGCATGACAGTGGAAGATTGGACCATGTGATGGACTTGTGGGTGTGGGGGCAAGATCATGAACCTTCAACTGGGTGGGGAAACCTCAGGAAGCTCAGATTCGGGTTTCCCCCAGATGTGCCAACATAATTCTCTTAATAAATTGGGAATTAGAACAATACTTTGCCTTGGATTCTGATTTAATTTTAGATGTTATTTGGAACGCTGACAGACAGCCTGTATTATAGAAAGGCCTTTGATTATATTATTCACCTCAAGCAGTAAAAAATGCTCAGAAAAGTTATAAGAATTTCAGAATATCTCATTGTCTCGTGTAAAATTATTTACAAATCTGAAGACTTCAGTACAAATAGAACATGGAGGAAAAGAATGGCTTTGGATTGGCAAATGAATGAGACAAAGCTATACAATCTCCCTTACTCATTCAAAGTATATGCTAAGTACATATTGAGGGAAAGTAGATTGAAAGATTACCGTGGTTTTAAAGTTGGAGGAAGAAACACCAATAACCTATGCTAGGCTGATGACACTATTCTAGAAGTTATCATCCAAGTTACTCTGTGGCAAGATGGATGGCTAATAAATTTTACAAACAAACAAATGCAAAGGATCTGCAAAGTCAAACAAAATAAAAACCAAAAGCATATCAATGAATATTTCAATGAAAGAAAGTATCTGAAAGTTTTGAAAAATACAGCATTATGTGAACTGTACAAATCAGAATACTTATTTAATGATAGAATTATGTCAAGACTATTTTGGCAAAATAAAGTTATTGAACAAATAAACCCAGCTTTATTGCCCCCATCACAAATGATGAAGCTCAAATTATACTTTGGACAAATTTTTTGAAAATTTGTTCTCTGGATAAATTTCTAATGCTGGGGAAGATAAAAGAAAAGAGAATAGGATAATGGCTAAGAGAATGAATTAAGTTATATTGGCAATGATATACTCCTAGAAGTCCTAAAGAACCAGGACAGATTGTCATGTAGATAATCTATCTAGGAATAGGAATATTCTCTATTGGCCAAGTGTGATTGGATACACAAGGAATTTGTCTCTGGGGCATAAGCTCCCATTATACATACAAACAACAAGGTGATTAATCACAGATCATAAATTATAAGATATGAATAACAAATGATAAATTGTTATTAAGTCAATACTGACTCTTATTGTTAGACAATTGTTGCTAAGACTCAATTGTTGTTAAGAGGCAACACTGATTTGTTCACACATAACCAGTGGTTAAACCTTAATATTTCCAGAATCAATGTTTGTAGGGATTGCTGCTGCCAGTTCCTACTTATTATATTTATTTATATTTTGTTGTTTTGTAAAAATATTAGCAATAATGGTAATTTTATCTTTAGGAGCAAGTGACATATCCTTTCCATTCTTATGCCCACTTTCTTATACATTAAAAATTATATTATAAATATTTATTGATTGTTTAAATTACTAAAATTAAATAAAAGGAAGTACATGTGGATTTGGATGCTGTCAATTGCCAAAAAGCACAAGACAGATTTCATCTGAAAATGTTCTACTTAGACAAGCAGTTAATGAATCAGGGACAAATATGTTGTAATTTAATAAAATTATATCTGTGATGACGAAAAAGGGTATTTCGACTGTCTTTCTTTTCTACCAGACTATTGGCGTATATGGAGACCTTTCCATCTTATTTATGGTTTTGTGGCTGCTAGTTTAGACATGATGACTACAGTTCACCTGAAAATCATATGACACAATAATCTTGTTTTGAACAGTTTGTTGAATAATAGACTGGTGGACACAGGTAGCTTCACATTTCATAATGAACCAAAATCTGAAAAACCATATTATTACTGCATTGGATCAACTCTGCCAAAATATATATCTTAGTAACAATTAGAACTGGAAGCTCTGAGATACTTTTGCAGATCCTGTCTCCATACTTACTTAGTTTAAACATCTTTTTGGCTACTAATGGAGTAGAAGCCTAGATTAGATAAGCCTTTGGTCCTATCAGCTAAGTCTGAATTTCTTAAGTTAGTTTCCTATACACCTAACACATGAAATTGAACAAAAGCCAGCTACAAAAGTCCTATTAAAAGTGTTTGCTTCAAATATCATATGGAGTATATAAAGTGTGATTGGTAGATATGAAAAAGCAGATGAGAAAGGCTGAGATGTGAGCCATATTATTACTCCTCCAAATGTTATTTCACAATTGATTTCACGGAATTTCTTTCATGCTATTAACAAATGAGAAATTAAACATTTTCACCTAGTGAATTGTCTATCTATTTCCACATCCCTGGAATAATTGGGAGTGTGATCTAACAAGTTTATTTAAAATGAGAATAGCAAGATTCCTGCTAGATCAATATTTAAATACACATATTTCTTAAAAATTATCTTCTGGTACTGCATCTGATAGTGCCAAGTCTCTGATCCAACTATTTAGCCCTACCTGACCCTGTTAGAGTTGCCTTTTTCGGATATAATTGTTTCCAGCGATACAAGAGTTCCACTGTATTTGGATCCAAATTCTGTCCATCCAATCAGATGCTATCCAGGTAGCAGTTGATTTACAACCACAATTGAGCCCAACATTTTTGGTGCTAAGTGAGACATTTGTTAAGTGAGTTTTGCCCCATTTTGTAATCTTTCTTGCCAGTTTTTAAATGAATCACTGCAGTTGTTAAGTTAGCAGCATGGATGTTAAGTGAATCTGTCTTCCCCATTGACTTTGCTTGATTGTTGATTGTATTATCCCAAGTCTGCAACCATCATAAATGTGTGTCAATTGCCAAGTGTCTAAATTTTGATAATATAACCCACGAAATGCTGCAACAGTCATGTGAAAAATGGTCATAAGACATTTTTTTCAGTGCTATTGTAACTTCAAATGATCATTAAATGAACTGTAATAAGCTGAGGAATATCTGTACAGGTAGTCCTCAAGTTGCAACCACAATTGGGACAGTAACTTCCACACCTAAGTGATCTGGTTGTTAAGGGAGTTACACCCAAGTTTATGACTTTTGCTGTGGTTAAGCAAATCACCACAGTCCTCCATAATTTTTAAAAGTGGGAAGGACAAAAAAGTGACAAGAACAAATAATTTAGAAACATTGATCTACAACAAATAGATTTTCACAGTATCCACAAAATGGTGGAAATGGTAGAGGGGTTAAAATGCAAAGCTGAATATTGTAAATATGTTTTTAATCAGGGTGTTTTTTTGGGTGGGGGGAAGGGGTTACTTTGATACTGCATGTCAAATGCAAATGATTAGGATGTTTGCCAACTTTTTTGAGGGGAGAAACATACCTGTCTATATGTATTTTATTGACAAATAACAGATCACTCTTGTCTCTGGGCAAGTTCCATTAAAATTAGGACATATACACACAATGCTTTTTGACACTGATATATATATATAACCGTAGCCTCTCTGAGGTGTATAGCTATGAGACAAAAATAAGCAAGAGGAAACTGTGCATGTTAGTTCTGCTTTTTTCTTGTCTTTCTGGCAGTTGTTACTACATAAATCTTGTGTGGAAACTTTTCTAAGTGGCCCAGTTTTCCACTCTTAATTTCAACATCATTGATTCTATCTTGAGCCACATCCTTTGATGATATAAAACAGAGTGTTATGGCACTTGGAGGAAATAAACGGTGGGCCCTGAATGAAATACTTTTTTGGTGGTGGCGGGGAGGTTATTCTAATGTGATTAAACTTGGCTAGCAAAACGATTAGCATTTCACAAATCTCCCTTTATCCACAGAGGATGCTTTAAAAAAAAATAGCAATTCCCTTATTGGTACACTGTTCGTGTGGTGGAAAGTGGAAAGTTATTGCTGAAAATCTCCCTTACCATTAGTTTGTTTGTTTTTTGAGTATTATTTTCCCCCAATGCCGAAAAGGGATAAATGGCTTTGGCCCTTCTGCAAGTGGTCAGGGGCACATTCCCTTCGCAGCAGCTCTTCTCTTCTCCCCCCCCACGCCGCTCGCGGACAAGAAGGCGGCGTGACTCGGCTGCCACGCCACCCCCTTCTCTCTGCGCATCCCGCTGTCTCAGCTCCTTCTCCTTCCTCTCCGGAGGAGCAGCAGCATCTGCTGCTGAGTTCCCGCCTCTATCTCCGCCCGGCACCAAGCAAGGGGGAGGCGGAGGAAAGAGCAGAGAAGCGGCGCCGCAGCCAGGGCAGCCGCAGCTAAAGAAAGGGAGTTTTGTCCTCGCTGCTGCTGCTGCGGCCGGCCTCGGAGCAAAGCGACCATGGCCGCAGCTTGCCTCAGGCCGAAGGCGGGCTGCGAAGCGCGAAAGGCAACTACGGCCGCAGGAGGAGCAAACGCCCAGCAGTGACCAACCCTCCTTCTCCTAACGTCCAGGCCGCGCGTCCTCCGGCGTCGCGGGGGTGGGGAGCTCACGCTCCGCTTCGCTTTGCCGTCGCCGCTCGCTTTCCCCGCGGCAGCGGAGGCGGTTACTAGCACCATGTGGGGGAGGCTTCTCTCCGAGATCGGGCAAAACGGGGACTACCGGATAGGTAAGGCGAAGGAAAGCGGGCCAACTTGCGCGTGGCGCGGCGGGGCACACGGCGTCAGCTTAGGGGCGTCAGCTGGTCCAGCTCGGTGCCCGGCCGGCGTGTCGGGGCAATAGGCGGTGGGACAAACGGGAGAGAGATAGAGAACGCGTCCCCGAATTGGGTTTTGGGAAGAAGACTCGCCGCTCCGGATTCTGGGCTGCGTTCTCTCCTTGCTCGTCCCGGGTTTCCACCGTGTCCTGCCAGTCTCGCTCCCGGGTCTCCCTGCTTGGTTCCCGGGTCCGAAAGAGTTCGTTATGTTAACGCGCGTCGCCATCAGGCTCGAGAAGGAGCAGGGCGACGGGAGAATTGCGGAGGGGGAAGAGCCGCTTAGGCACCCGGTGGAGGCAACGGCGATCTGCGCGGCCGTGCGGATTGCAGCCAGCCCGGGTGGGGAGGAAGGAAGGGAGGGAGGGAGCGAGGGGTTTGACGCTGTAAAAAGCAATAGAAATAAGAGTCGGGGCTATATTTAGAGCTTTTCTCCACAATCCTCTTTAAATCTGGGATTGGGGAGCAGAGCTTGATTTGAGAAGTGACAGCCAGCGCCAAGTCACTGGGCTCCTTCTCAAATTGCCCTCTTTTCGGAAGCTTCCGGAGATAAGTTGGAAGACAAGAGAGGATTTGGCGTTAAAAAAGGAATAAATGACGTATGCTCCGCTCTTGGTGCTTAGCTAGTCAGGCAGGAGAGTTGCCCGTCCTTGTTTCAGAAAGTAAGGCCAACTTTGGGTGTAGGTAGGACTTTACCTTGAAATCCCGTTGACTGAAACAAAACTCCATCCCTATTATGGGGCTGAGTGAATTACTCCTCAGGAGGTGGTATAGTTGTAGCATTTGGACAGGTACCTACCCAGTATGTCTTGCCCGGTTCACACATCAATATCTCCAGTTAGCAAAACAGCCAAGTGATCTGTCTTATTAAACGATCCAAGATAAAATTGTGTTGAATATATTGTGCTTTGTTTCTGCTGTCATGCCCTAGGTTGATACTGCTATGGAACAGTTAGTTTGCACTGGTTGAGAACAAGCTGTACTTTCTTGCACAGCTTTTAGGATAAATAACAATTATTTGGTAATTCTTTTGATATGAATTACTGTACTGTTCTGTACTTTTTAGGAATAGAATGTGTTACTTGAAAGGGTCAGCTGTTATAGAGGAGAACAAGTATCATATCTCATAAAGATGTAATTGTTTACTACCTCCATTTTCTGATATTTTAATTAATAACCAGAATCCTTTACACTGAAACAAGTGAACTTGTTTTATTGATAAAGTACTAATTTTACATTTGGGTTACAAAAGAATCATAACCTTAAAAATGAACTGCAGAATTTGACTGGTTCACTATAAGTTTATATGCAATTATATATTTAAATAATGTTTTCATTAAAGTTATGGTACTCCAGTGATTATGTGTCATAGCTGGGACAAAAGTAGTCCAGATGAAAACCGTAGTAAATTATGAAAAGTTTAATCAAATCTTTAAATTTACTATAAATGAATAAAAAATAATCACAATGCCTAAAAACATATGTTGGTAAACATTGGAAAAAAGTGGTTTTTTGCCTCCCTCATGGCAGAACCCAATATCTTTGACAGAGTGATTGGTGGCACTTATACAAAAAGTTGAAAACAACTGAAGTAGAATATACTGTTGTACCTATTTTGTCCTTTGGATCAATGTTATTGTGATTTTCTATATCATGAAATGGTTGGGTACAAATGCTTCTTTATGTCATTCTGGATATTATCTTATTCTAAAGTGAAATGTTTTTTAGAATTCATTATAATTTCTCTGCACTATGCAAGCCTCCCAAAGGGAACCTGATTCATCTTCTTGCAGAATTTTATTCAGTTGACCTTTACCTTTACTATACTATTGGATGGACTCTGAAGATTTATCTATTCACCTTCCCTTTAATTGAATTAGGAATTATTTTTGTATATAATACATCTTATATAATTTTTATTTGATTTCTTAAAGTTGTTTAAATCTATTATTGTGTAGATTTAAATAGAATATTATTTTAATATTCTTACAAGTTTGAAAAAGTTTACTTAGAAACATGGCTCACGGTTTTTTAAAAAAACCATAAGTAAATAAATAATTTGTCAGGTATATTTAGTTTTACTGGTTTCTTGCAGTTTATGTTGCTTAATATTGTATTTATACTATAGGGAAAAATTACACTTTAAAAGAAAGCCTGTTTTGCATTTTAGAAATGTTGGATCCAAATAAATTAATTGAAAATAGAAAACCATATAGTCCAAAACATGGGACTATAGCATCTATGATCTGGACACTATCAACTTTCTACACTCCAATCCAGTCATGTCTGACAATTGGCAATCAAATGTACAGGCTTGTAGTTGAGAATTATACAGTACTAGGTCATATTTTAACATTTTAGTGATTTTCAATTTTATAAACTTTTAATGAAATACAGGAAATGAAAGATTAGATCAAGTATCATAGTTTTTATTCATCAACCAAGTGGTGATAATCAATAAAAGTTTGTAAGTGCAATTAGCAGGTCTTTCCATGAACATAATGTTGAAATGAAGTGATACAGAGGTCTGTGAAAAACACACTGTTACAGAAATGCACATCCTCTCTCTGTATTATATTTAAGTATTGTTTGCCTCTTTTTATTTTGTTTAGAAAATGCTGAAATGAGAAATAAAGTGGATTGATTGATTGGATTGATAGTGGAAAATTAACAGGAAGTGATGTTTTTCATTGTAAAAACACACACACACACACACACACACACACACACACACACA